ATTTATCTTATCAGCGAGATCAGCTGACGCAGTGACATCACATGATTTTCTGAAGTGAGCTTTTTTTTCCCTTTGACAAACAATCTACTTTTAAGGATTAAAGGCCTATTCAAATTCTGAAATGGTTTTGCCTTTTTTTACCTGGCGCGTATGTTACGAACTTGAATTCCAAACCTGGTTAACAAAATGATACTCAAAGAATGTAAAGAACTTTTTCAAGATTAATGGACAAAAGAGTGCTCATTTTTTTATGACAAGTAACTTGCATCCTATTCATATAGAGTCTTCATATATGTCAATGTTTTGATTGGTCATGTTCATGTTTTGTACCCTGCCCCGTCTGTGTTTATGTACAATAAATATCATTCTTCTTCTATTCATTTTCTACTTATCATCAATAAATGAGAAATTGATCTTTTACTCCCTCAACCGACTCTTCTTGTCCAACATTAAAAATTCAGTGCTGACTCCTTCATTTGTCAATATGCCATATTGCTGACCGTCTTCCAACTCCGTCTCGCATCTCCAGCAGAACATGACATCATCTCCAGCAGAACATGACATCATCTCCAGCAGAACATGACATCATCTCCAGCAGAACATGACATCATCTCCAGCAGAACATGACATCGGGGTAGACACAACAAACAAAACCCCATTCAGCCCACATCTATCATTTCTGATAGGTCATTTAAGCATGTTAAGAAAGATCAGTGGTTACAATGACTGGTTAAAATGCTATTTAAAAAATCAGGTTCTGATAACTGTTCAGCAATCCCAATTTCAAAGATCTACCAGTTAAATTATTAAACTAACATTTAGTCTATGAAAACATTTCTTTGAATATCTGGGATATACCAAGCTTCACCTACCTGTTAATAAAATGGACTTAACCGACACTGCCGGGATCGGATTCTATTCAGGAAGTCATTTAATTAAATACGGGTAATTATTTTTAAAGCTTGTACATTTTGTCAACATCCTTAAAGATGATGTACATATTGTTGATATCGCATAAGAAATATACGAAATTATTGTACAACAAAACACTGGAGGGAGTGCATCCCTGCAGTGTCTTACTATACAATAAACAACTTCCATTCATCGTTTATTTCATAAATAACACAACCATATTTGTCTTTTCTAACTTTATACACATAATTCAACACTGACAGTGATTCCTAGTCAGCAACACAACTTTCTCCTCCACAATCATTGATTTCCATATCAAGGAACTTACCACACAGACATTTGTACGAGGCTGTGCTTCTGAACAGTTAAATTATCCGTAAACAAAACATCTGTGTATTCAAGACATGAATAAATTCCAAACAGTTTCCATTTGCAACAGTTATACAAACAAAAAAACAATTATGAAGATTAGCATTAAACCAAACTTGTATAAAATTATTTTCAGGTCAAGATAAATACAGAAAAACACATTTCTATAACCAGTTAAGGTTTTTGGAGTATAGCTTTCTTCATCCTAAGGCAATTGTCAATATGCCTTGACATTAAACATACCTGACTCGGGCCAATTACGCAGGGGGGCCTAATTCCTGACAGGGTGTCGAGACAAAAAAATTGCAATTGGTGAGTCTGAACGACACCAAAATCCCTTTAGGTGGGGCCAAGTTCGCCATCAGGATTGAAGTGGCCAAGAATCGCGGATAATTAACCCTTCTGGCGGATTTCATTATGCGCTTAATCTGTCTTTGGTTGAGACCCTACTCTACATGTCAATAGGTGGTCTGTAGCATTAGGTGACGGAAGTCCAAGCCCCTATTGTTAGGATTGGCCACCAATGGTCACAATCTTATAATTGCAAGCTCAGGATGAAAAATTGATGATTCATCAAGATTGACGAAACACTGAGACACCAATATGGACACAAAATGACGTTCAGAGCAAATATTTGGAGACAACAATATCCTGAGGCAAACAAATGAGTGTATTATGTTAAGTCCATCAATTCCTACTTCATTGGGGTGATTTCGTTGGACAAATTAGCATCTCTCATCATAAATTCACTTGGATTTGTAATGCTCACGTCAATCTTGTCTTTGTACTAGTAAAAGCATGTTGTTTTACTATTTTTACATCTGTCAGCAATATGAATAACGTAGTATCGGAGGAACCTTAACCTAATCAAGTTTGGTTGGGACAAATCAAAGGTTGTTAGCATGAGCACAGATTCCTGTATCTGGGGCACAATGACAAACAGGCAAGTCACAATTTCATCCCCACTTTAGTCACCTCAAGGTAAACGGATGCAGGGCAAATTCTCTACCAGTCTGACCGCCTCCGTGGTCTAGAGGTAGAGCGGAAGGTCTGGGGTTCCATCTTCGGCCGCGTCATACCAAAAGACGTTAAAAGATGGCACTTGTTGTTACCCTGCCTGGTGCTAGTCATTAAGGGGCTGGTCGGCTCGGAGTCAGCATACTGTGTCTGAGTGGGGTATTCATGTTAAGATTATTGTACTTTTATAGCGATGTGCATGCACATGTGTGTGTGGCTGCTTGTACCAGTCCAGACTAATGCCGATTTTATAGTGCTACCTCACTGAGATACCATGCCACAGTTTAACATGAATACCCCACTCAGACACAGTATACTGACTCCGAGCCGACGAGTCCTTGTTTTTAGGCCCTTTACGCCAAGTACCAGGCAGGGTAACAAACAAAAAATCTCTTCTTTTAGCATGACGGAGGCGGGGATCAAACCCCTGACCTTCCACTCTCCTGGTGGACACTCTACTACTGGATCACATAGGTAGTCACCACGATAGTAGTCGAGTGATTTCCTTCTGTCACCTGGTTTTGATGAAATGCTCTACATTTCCTTATCCCACTGAACCTCAAACCACAGCCAATCTTTTCCCTCAGTTTTAGATATATATTCTTCTTATAAATTTTTCCACAAAATCCCTACACTAAGCTATAAGAAGAATAAACATTAAAAAAACAGAAGAAAAATACATATTTTCTCACACAGTGACAGGTCTGAATAAGAACAAATTGGTTCCATTAAATTATCACATTATTCCCAAACATGTTAAAAAACAACTTCCAGAATGTTATCATTTTTTTTTTCGTATAGACATCTAACAATCCACTTCAAACCAGCTTCCTTCAATCTTTCCTAAACTTCCTGCCCACAAAATATCAAGTTATTCTTTCAAAATGTTACGCAAACAAACGGCGACATTGTGCCAAACTCCTCCCCTTAATTCCCATGCACACACCCTATCTCAATTTCCCTTGCGCTATTTTACATATTCCAAGCCCCGAGCGAAATGGACGGAAGAAATGGATCTCTTTGAAGTATCACGCCAGTCCATCGCACGTCTCGACAAACGCCATGTGCACTCGTGTCCTTCAAACCTTTGCAAATAACACAAGGGGCTCTTGTCATGCAAACTGAACGGCGGATTACAGATATTGTTCGTGGATTGCATGCGGAGTCGACAAACAGCTAGGAGGGATCGAATTACGTAATTTTGTATCTGGAAGCATTAACCGGACGAATTCATTTTTGACGACGGGGTGTCCCATGTTAGCTTTTCCGACTTGTTTTCAATTCAAAGCGTTTTGACGGTCTGTTATTTCAATTATCCTTTGTTTGGCGATCATAAGATTGGTTTGGTTTCACAAATAATCCGATAATACCATGAATAATTGATTTTCATTATCAATGCATTCCACCCACCCGAGGACAAAATGAACCCTCCGTGTTTACACGAGGTCTGGGATTTAGTCAATGAAATATTACGCAAGCAACTGTAATTGTGTCATTCGGTTCAAACACCGTCCGAGCGCTACCGTGTAATAAAAGAGCAATAACATTGCATTCGATAATGCTGACATTCATGAATAGGGTTGACGTGATTATGTCAGGGGTAATTAACATCCTAAAACTAGTAAAACACGTGAAGAAATCATATCAATAACCTCCCCACAGTACCTATATTCCGAAAGAATGAAATTAAATGTTACTTTTTCACTATGTGTCCTCATTTGTAGATGGGTTTTTTCGATAGATATACAATAGTTTAGTTATAGTCGCATTTTTTTTATCCAACAATAAAGTATGGTATAAATTATTAATTCACAATATGTAAAACATGGAAATAATCTAAACCAATGGCGTTTTCGTGTCCCCTGTCATTTGTGAATAAAAGTACATTGTAATATCGGGGTTATACAAAGTTGATAATGTTAACAACTGAAACCTGAACATAGTATGGCAATACAACACGTTTCATATTAAACTTCTGTCTAAATGCTTGACGTTGACAGTCTACGCCCTGTCGTAATTTTGAAAATAGAAATGAGAACTTTGTCTGCGTATGTTCTTTTTCACTGATAAAAACAAGTTATAGTATAACCCGCGGCTCGTAAGGTTTTCGCTTCACTGATTACGGTCTATCGCCAACCAAGCGTTACAATCACCGTGCATTTACATGAATATCTAAATAGGTCAACCTTACGACGAATAAAACAGTCTGCTGTCGTGTGAGTGTTTGGTCTAAGACGGGAAAATTCGGCTGTATTTTCGGGATGGAGGCATATTTATTGACAATGACAAGTCACTGCGTGCGTCCGATCGACACAGCTGGTCAATGTGCGAACAATACAATATTAAAACACCACAGAACAAACCCAATTGCGAAATGAGTAACAAGTAAACAACGTGCTTTGGGCTATTTCATCACACTACGAGCGAGGCACAGATGTGACCACACAGCATAATAGCGTAAACACAGAAACACAACATTAGCGGCAAAATATCTCACGACGTGACAGATTAAAACGTGACAGGCATATTTCGAGAATAGCACACTGCTCAGAAATGAACTGCAGTTTCAGCAGTTAAGAAAGACAAACACCAAATCAAATACAGACGGAACAGTGCAACTACAACATTCAGGTGTGGAAGGCTGACGTAAAATACAGTATGACAGAATGTCCCGGTAAGCAGCAAGTTGCGTCATCACTTACCTGTTTACGTTTGTACTTATTTCCAGGGTCAAAACGGGCTTTCATGAGACGAAGTTCTTCCCTGCAGTCTTGATCTTTAGTTAAAAGCAAATATGACCGCCAGTTAGTTGAATCGAAGCCCCAGTGACATGTTCTGTTTTCCAGAGCTTTGTGCGAGTGACACACGAATTTGGGAGGACAGAACAACCCGTGACAATCCATGCACTGAATACATTTGGCATCCGGGCTTGTGTAAAGTTCGGGGTGAAAAATGCCCTTACATTTGCCAAAACATTCGTGATATACCTTGAAGCTGTTTGGGGATGGTGGCTCGAGATATTTTTCAGGGTTTCGATGAAGCAAAGCATTCGTCAGTCGTTCCGCATCGGTTTTAGTAATAAGACCACAGCTAGGAGCGCTCAGTGGTAAGATCCCTGTAACTTTGAGTGTGTCCAATTGCTCCGGACTGCATCGCGAACAGAAAATGTGTAAATCGTCGCATACTGCGTTAATTTGCTGTAAGGTAAAATCTCGCAACACTGTGTTGAGGATCTGGGGAAGGCATAACCTCTTTTCGCCCCCAACTAAAAAACATGAAATCGTCTCCCCTTCGAGAATAGTATCCCCTCTCTCGCTCCTCGATGAATCTACGGGGCTGAACACAGGCATCTGTTGGATCGGAAACGGTGGCGGTGCTAGGAACGGATCATAATCCATACCCTTCTCAGTCGGGGTGCACTTTTTGACACTCGCCACCACTTTCCTGTAGTCCGCAACACTCATCTTGGAGAAATCATTCACAATCGGAAAACCGTTAGGTCCGCTTAAACTACGAACAGAGGCGTTTTGAAATCGTTTCAGGACCCTCTGTAAGTGAGGAGTCACCGACTGGTGCAACGCCTGGTGTTCCATCCAAACCCACAGCTTTGAAATATGGGTTGAAATCCTCTTGTGTCGTCAGTTCTGTTAGCCGCAGCATGTGTAGTACTGGCCGCGATCCTATATGCTCACACAACTACCGAGAGAGCCCAGTGAAATATTTGGCTTTGCTATCAGCCGCTGCGCCCCCTACGTTAAGTGACCTAGTTTTTTCAACTTGCCAAGCACGTAAACAACCTCGGTCTCAGCCAGTGGGATCATGCTCTACCGCTGATATAAAAAGTAGTGTGTCGTTATAATGAAGAGTAAACCATGCCATTGCGGAAAAAAATCCCTGTGCACATTGCTTTCTGCAAATAAACGACTCCGGTGAGGCGAGTGTGATCACCTCCCTCCGCACACACCAGCATATTATTTCAAGCAGAAGGTAGTGTGTTTTTTTATAATGGAGTGTGCATCACTCTTGCTACAGGCTGAAAGGACTTGCATATTAGAAATTCGAGTCTACAGGTATTTCGATTCGTGAATACAGGCGTACTTATTCGTATTCTAAACGAACCGGCGTTCTGTGTCGTACAGGGACAACGCAAAGCCTGTACAATCAAAGGTGTCTGGCTAGTGACGTCACAAGCGAGGTCGAGCCGTCTGTAGTGCTATGGATTATTCGTGACCTCAAGCGCGAGGCGATTGCCGCCATAAATAGCGGGCGGACTTGTCTAGCAATGGTCTGCTCGCGTAAGCGAACGTCAGGCAAGGCGGACGGCTGGCTGCCAGACTGACCGATCGTCCTTGGCGAGTCTGCAGCGGGCCGGTCAGGGGAAACGCCGGCTTTCTATATTGACAAACGAAGCGTTCTCCATATTCGAGCTGGACGATAAGGCTTCTCCGCTTCTCAAGCTTTCGCCGAGCAACGAAGGGATTTTCGTCGCTGTGTTCAAGACCGCGAGTACAGAAAACTTCTCTCCTCATGTAATGATAAAGCTGGCTTGTTTTTGCTGTAGCGGTAGGGGAGTGATGAAAATTTGATGAGGGTAGTATTTTCTAATCTCACTCTAATGACGATCTTGTTAAAACCCACACTTTACGATAAGGCTGTTTTTCCACTCTAAAGGCCGCGCGTGATAACGAATCTGGTTTGCATGGGGCATGTCGTTTTTTTTCGGTGGGATTATTTTTTTAACGCGTTGTCAATCAAAATCGATCGCGTTCTCACAGTCTCAAAAGAAATACACGAGTACAGATTAATACCGATGGTAAACGACAAGCAACGATTTACAAAAGGAAAACAAGAATCCTATCGAAATAATTGAAAAAAAATTAATTAAATCGGTTAACGATTATTTTCAAAGGATAGTCGGTATAAATCAAACTATTTACGAAATTGATCTGATAAACTGCTTGGATTTTGTTTTGTTTATTTCGCTGGAGTGATTGAAGGTGTTAGAGGTGACCTAAATTCCGAAGCTACCCGTTTTGAGGCCAGTCCGAGTTGCACGTGCAAGTGCGACACGGGCATGCTTCGTCTTTCAGCACGAGGCGTCGTGTAACCGGTTCAAACCAGTTAAATGCCGTTATTGGTATCTGCATGCTTTTGCATTAAAATCAGCTCAGTCATCTTTATTATACGTTAGTTTGTAAATACATTTAAAGCATTATGGAGATAGAGGATTACGATTAGAGATGCATAAAGAATACCACGTGGCAGCTGTTGGAGAAATGGTAGGTCAATCGAACCAAGAATGTCCCCCATGTAACGCTGAGCTGTCAAATGTCTGTTACGCTGACCATTGGTGTTTCCTCCTGCCCACAAATCCCCCCTCCCCCGGGGAATCGAACCCGGGTCTTCGACGTGAGGAGCGAACGCTTTAACCCCCGTACCAATAAAAGACGAGGGCGACGTACGTCTGACTTGCGACGTATCGTCTTGCCCACTATGGATGGGAAACCTATCTGAAAACAGGTTCATCAATATTCCAGCTATATGATAAGATAATCCAGTGACTGACATCATGAGCATCGATCTACGCAATTGGGATACGCTGACATGAATCAACCACTCCCTTTTGTCGCCTCTTACAACAAGCATGGGTTGCTGAAGACCAATTCTAACCCGGGTCTTCATGTTTGTTTGTTGTTTAACGCCGCACTTATTCCAGCTATATGACGGTGGTATGTAAATTATCGAGTCTGGACTAGACAATCCAGTGACTGACATCAGGAGTATCTATCAACACAACTGGGATAAGTGGACAAGCACCAACCAAGTCAGCGAGCCTGACCAACCGATCACGTTAGTGATTCTTACAAGCATAGTCGCCTCAAGCATGGGTTGCTGAAGACCCAATCTAACCCGGTTCTTCATGTCGTGGTTGGATCTTAAGAGAAAATTGAACCAAAAACTTGTCCTTAAAATCGATGCAGAAGAATTACATCTATGATCTGATGCAACGTTTACATTGGGGTTTTACGGTGTCAATTATCGGGAGCACAATTATGATAATACTGATTTATATCTAAACGAGTCTGAATTTCATAACTGTCAAGCTTGAATCATAATACGCTTGGCAACTACGAGCTTTCTATCTCTTCAGCAACACAGTACGATTATAGACATCTTTATTACAATAAATATGCATGTCGATGATAGCAGTTTTCATATTGACATTTAACAGATTGAAATATCAGGCAGGAGAATACGTTGTATGCAGATAACCATTTGAATTATTGCTGATAATGAGACGAGCATTAGTTTGATGGTTTCATGAACACATTGGATAGTACATGTTATACAATATATATGACTGTGTTTCACATCAAGACATTTTGCAGGTACAGTAAACTATGGTTATAACCACTAATTTTAGTTCGTAATAACCGGATTGCATTATAAGCATATATACAGCTTATATACAACACATGGCCGGTACTAAAAAATAAGTTCGTTATATCCGTCAGTTCGTTATAAATGTAATTTACTGTATTCCTGTAAACTGTTGTGTTCTTCAGTCAGTGGGATGCATGTGACGGTTACGTTCAAGTCAAACTTGACGAATGTTGGTGTCCTCGATCAGAGCTCATTGTTACAGTGGAATGAGTGAGTTGGATTTAACGCCACGTTATCACTCGTTCATGCTCACCACGTGCCACCTCACTGTGTGAGGAAAGCCCGAACTGATGTGGATCAAAAAATCTTTATCAGGCCGATTTTGGGATTCGAACCGACGACAAGGGCAGCAACTCTGCACTGCGAATGAAGTTAAATTAACCGTGCCCCAAGTTAATGTTTCAGCACGATGCAAATAACAACTGTGTTAACAATAACCATGCATTTACTGATTGTATACTAATGGAAACGAACAAGGGAACGGTGAGAAAACAGGATAATAAGCTTTACTGTCGGTACATTTGAAGGGGCGGTCAGGTAGCCTAGTGGTTAAAGCGTTCGCTCGTCACGGTCACGGTACTGCTGGAATATTGCTAAAAGCGGCGTAAAACCACTCTTTCACTCTGTACATTTGAAACAGCGCGCATACAAATTCAACACGTCAGAATCAAATGTTGAGATGTGTTTGTGTGCATTGTTTCCAACGCGTGTTTGATAGACAGGGCTGGGAACCCATGATCGCATATCAGAAACTACGTGTTCCGTTATTAATTTCCACCAGTATAAAATGCTGTTTCCAGTGAAATGAGTGAGGGAGTTGGGCTGAACACCGCTTCGCCAGCGTCAAGGGATGTCGGTAGTAAAACTCAATGTTCGTTTCCTGAAGGTAATGTCGGGCACATCTCGCATAATCGATGAATACACGAAGTAGGTCGTCATTAAATATTTATGCAACGAGCGTATTATATGTACATGTAAGTGTATCACATCGAAGTTACCACAGAATGGCTTTCAGTTTACCAAGCAGGAGAGAATTAGGCCATGGCGTATTTACACTAATTATGTGTATAAATATGCATGTTTTAACACGATCACATTTGTAACTTACGGATGTATATTTTATATAACTGATTCACGAACTAAATGCCAAGACATCACTTCAAATCAAATTTTCAAAATACCTGGATATATTGTTTCAAGTTTTTAGATGAGAAGATGTCTAAAGAAATATAATTTCTAATAATACACAAGAAGCGCGAGTTCAGAGCGAGACATGCAATTCTCATTTATACTCGCATATATACTCACATATATACTCACCGCGAAAAGAAACGCGAACCATAGAGTGAGTGAGTGAATGTGGTTTTACGCCGCTTTTAGCACAATTTCAGCAAATATCACGGCGGGGGACACCAGAAATGGGCTTCACACATTGTACCCATGTTGGGAATCGAACCCGGGTTTTTGGCATGACGAACGAACGCTTTAACCACCAGGCTATCCGACCGCCCCGCGAATCATAGAAACATATAGAGAAGTATGTATGTTAAGAAGAGATGTTTCCAATGTGTACCACTTAATGGCAAAACTAACGATCAGTCAAATGTTACCAGTGTCCTTATTCTTATCACGATATGCTGCACGTGAATTCCAAACTTTACACGCTAATCCTGCCCCAGAAAAATGGTGCATCTCGAGTCATGGATCTATGACGTCACATATGATGCGATCACATGGGCCGGTTCAAACAACAAAACAGTATATGTTCGTTTGTCGAACCAATCTAATATCTAAAGACATATTTATTTATCCAGTATAAAAACAAAACAAATTAAATTACTATGTTTCATAGCCACACTGAAAGAGATATTTGCTGTTGAAAAATTAATTGCTAGAACAATCAACAAACTGAATATGTTTGAAAAGAAATGGAGAAACTTCTTAAGAATATTGCTATATTGATCAATACAATTCTAACAACTTTCTTGTACATCCTTTCCACTACATATATTTAAGGTCAATAATACCTATGTACATTTAGAATAATACCAAGAATGTAATCTTTTGCCACCACTTGACGTCTGTACCACAAATGTTTATCTTCAATGTTATTAATGGTTCTATTTCCAGAGTTCTCGAACCTATATTGTACACGCGAGGAACATTTGGTCCGTTCATTACAGGCAGGTCCAATATCTAGCACAGCTCTCGAAGCCTTTCGGAAATCTCGTTCACAATCATGCAACGTGACGCTCTCGCGAGATTTGGCATCTTGTCGGTGTGAGTTCAGGTGTTCTTGTATTTAG